GAGTGAAGTTGGAGTCAAGAGGTAGGCAATGAAAAATATTGTTTAGAAAATCGAACTTAAGAATATTTTTTTATATACATGTAACACATTCAATACTTCAAGTACGATAAGATTACACAACAAGTTTAGGATAACTTATTTATAAATTGATATTTGGAAAATTTAGTGATTTGGAGAGTAATAGTCATTAGTCATATATTTTTCATAAGTAAAATGCTATAAAAGTCAAATATTTCAGTATTAGTATCGTATTTATATGTATTAATTTTGAAAAATAATACATAAATCTGTTTTTTTTTAATTTAGAGAATCTCAAATATTATTAGTAGATAGTTTTTTTTTTCATGAGGGTTAAAGCTTAAATGTTTTAAAAATGTCTTAGTTTCACAATTACGGTGATATTTCTAAGTAATACATTTTTAGACCTATTTTTTTTATATAATATAGTTGTAATTGAAATGAGTCACATATTATTTTTTTCACATATTTATAATTTTTAATTTGCTATCAAATTGTTTCTAATGAACAATGAACCTGCGGTGGTGAAACAGAAACAAACTATACAGTGTAACCTTGTAAGATTGACGGTATTTTCAATAGAATTCCAAGATAAAAAACAAACAACAATAATAGTAACCTGAAAGTGTGCCACTGTAAATCGAAAGGTTATAATTTATAAGGAAGCCAATTATTTTTATGGTAGTCTTCATAATTAAATAAAAATCTTAATTTTTTTTGTGATCATCGAAATTTTGAAAAAACTTAATTTTACAAACTTTACTATTTGATATTAATAATACTTATCACTTATCACTTGTTTGCGCAGACGTAAGCAGAGCGAGAAAATTACCACTCGCTCACAGGTACGCGTCATTGTAATTTGTATAGTATAATATGTGTTATTTTTTAAATAATAATTTATATTATTTTTTTTATTTATTCTTATCTCTATAATTATTGAATTTAACATTAATGTATTGTATACATTTATAAAGTTAGTTGTCGTTGAATTTTCATAGCTTTTGTACCTAATTGGCTTTTCCTTAAAATGTCTAGCTATTACCTATTATGTTGCAAAAAGATTCATGACACTATGGAAAAGTCCAATAGGAAACCGTTCGACTCAATGTTTGTATTATATAACAATCCGGTTTACAGCGTTTACGTACCTATATAACGAACCGGTGAATGCCGATAGTCCTGACATTAAACACAGAGTTATAGCCAGCAAGACATGTCGCTGAGTTGCAGCTATGAGTTGATAAATACGGCGTGTCTTACTTATTAATATTTAAGATCCACACAATTTGGGATTAGTTTTTCGTAAGTAGAATTAATTGTATTATCACATATATGTAGTGTTTGAAGTATGAGAAATATTTCACAAAAACGTGAAACATTGAAATTTTTTTTAACACAAATAAAAACACAATTTATTTATTTATTTAACACAATGTTCAGTGTTCTAAATTCTAATGTCAGAATTCAGTAAGTATACAATATACATGTATAATATTGTATACCTACTTGTATCATTTAAACATAAAAATATTTAAAAATTTTGAATACCAATTTAAATGTATAATACCAAAGGTTAGGTATACATACAGGTACCATATAGTGATGAAGGTAATTTATGACAATTATATGTAAATATAAAACTTATTTAAAAATAAAACAAAATATATTAAAAGACTGAAATATTTCATGAAATATTTCACGAAATATTTCATTTTTTTAAATTTCATGAAATTTTCAAACACTACGATATATGACTATAAGAAAACTAATCGTTTGAGATTACATTTTTTAACCAAAATTATTTAATAATATAATTTAGGAAAACGTACCTATACAACGTTACAAATAATATTATGTAGAAATATAATATGTAATGCTTCAGTTTAAATTAGTTCAGTGTTTACTTTTTATTTTAATAAAAAATATGCTCTTGCATGGAAAACGTAGGTACATTTTTCCAAACTCTATTAATCAGGAGTTCTAACGATGGGCATTATTTAACTTAATGTTATAATCATGACCAGATTTATTGGAGTGGTTTAAGGGTGTTTATTCCAGGGTAACATAATTTTTTAGACCCCAAAAAGTGTTAAAAATATAAAATTATAAAAAATATAATGGAATCAAAAACAATAAAATTATTATAGTTCACAAGAGTAAATATTATGTGAGATATTTTTAATATTTAATCATTAATTAAAATATTACGGTGGTCAGTGTTTAATAAATAAATAATAATATATCATGTTAGTATTATTAAAATGTACACGGGTTTTGTTCGTATTTCCAAAAAAAAATAAATGGCAAAAATAAGTTTAATATATTATAGTTATTATATTAAAAAATTATATTGATTTTGTTATTTTTTACCATAAATAACTATTATTTACATGGTATTGTTACTTTATGTTTACTCTAAAAAGTTAAGCTATAGGTACCATTTAACGAATGAAATAAAATAAAATAAATATTGTATGGGGCCAATTTGAGGCATATTATTCGTGTAATATTTAACTATGTTTTAAGAACAAATAACATGTTGAAGCCTATTATTAGAGATTAGAAAGTTGGATTAGGTTAGGCATCTTAGACATAATTGATGTTATTACCCATGCTCTTCTCCAAATATTATTTGATCAAGGATTCCAAAAGTCTAAATTAAGCCAAGGTCTTAATGTTAAAATATTGAAAAACTTTTAAATTTAATATTTGTATTCTGGTTTATTCAAAAGATAGATGAATAGCAGTTATCAAATTTATTAGATTACCTACGTTATTTTTTTTTATAATCTTTACTGAAATATGGACTTATAAAATTATAATTTAGAGGTATCTACCTCCAATATTTTAAATAAAATAATATTTGTTTGTAAAAATTATTTTTACTTTTTGGTTTCAATTTTAACTATTATTTTAATACATTAATATGATAAACTTATTTATGAAATACAGTTCAAGCTGTGGATGTATCTACTTTAAAGATACAAGAGTATACAATAAAATTTAGGTATACAGCACCTAATTTAGTTGTTAAATTCTTTAGGGACCATTAATTTATCTAAATTAGGTATAGGTAATATAGTTAGGAATTGATTATGTTTTACTTTGTAACATATTTCTACATTTATTTTGAACATAATTATAATTTTAAAATAGATTAATATAACCGAAGAGTTGACTCCAGAGTATCTATTTAAATATACAAAATTAAAATATTAAAATATTTAATATATTAAAATATTAAAATATTTAATATATTAAAATATTCGTACAATATTTGGTTTAGAGGCATACCATCTGAATGCATACCATTATATCTGTCATCAATGATTGAACAATTTTAGTACGTATTTAAATTTAAACTTATAACACGTTCCTTGCTTTCTCAGTACGCACATTCCTAATCTGACCCCACGCGCTGCGTAATTGCTGATAACATTTTAATTTATTTCAAACTAAAACGAAAAATGACGAAACAAGAACAGGGAATACCGTCCAATATTGTTTTCCCAATTACTGAAAGGTCATAATAAATATTAAAGCAGTGTCCCGGCAGCTGAAGGATTTATAAAGATAGGCATTTAAAAATATATATGTATTAAAAACGAATTAGTGATTCGTTAATTAGTCGTTTATGGATCAGCAGCGGTCGTCACTGTTAATGTAGTGATTAGTGGTAGGTCACTGCCATCCAGCCGTGTTTTTCAGCTATAGTAAACGTGTTGAAAATATTGAATCAGAAGTTAGATTCTCACATAGACTATAATACATAATTGAATAGTTCGAATTAACAGATAAAATAATAATTATTTATAATTGTTGCCTTAAAAACGGTCTTATGTTATATTTTATTAACGTAGGAACATATACCCATATTCTATTATTTTAATTTTAATAAGCTGTAGGCAATAAATTATTATTCAATGACTTACACAGCGTATACGTGATTGTCATAAATACTGGTCCACTACTAAAAAAAATGGGAACCAGTTTCGCCCAAATTTGATCTTTGTAGAAATTCATCAAGAATTTACCATTAAGCAATAAACATATTGATATTATAATTATAACACATTTACACTTTTATAATTAATGCGTTCTAAATCAAAACATATATTATAACTTTTAATATGCCTACCTAATATAAACCGTCCAAGGTCCAATGGAAATAGTATCTTTATTATAATTACACAATATGTTTAGAAAAGAGATAATTTAAATTTAAGATAAGATTCTTTTAATCCATTTATAGTAAAAATATAGTATATTAGTATAGTATCATATGGCAAAAACTTTTTAAAAATATTTTACTAGAATTTTTGAATAATTACTTGTTAAAAGATAAATATATTTTTTTTAAAGGTTATTACTTATTAGTTTATTACTTATCAAATTAATGAGTCTTAGTTTAAAAAACGTATACTTTTTAAAAGTCTCATAAAAAATAAGCAACATGACTTAAATAATTGTTTTTACAATCAACATGTTTCTAAAAATCAAATTTACAAATTGGTTATTTTGAATTTTTCCAAAAAAAATTAAATCAAATTTAAAATTGTTTAATTTAATTTTACTGTATAAATTAATAAAAATAAAAAATATTCTATTATTCTTATACAGCAAGAGTAAATATTATAAACATATATATATAAATAACTTTTTTGATTATGACAAAAGTTATTTAGTTTGTCAGGTCTTCCTGTCACACCCTGTATATTGATATGTATAATATGACAATACAAGAGTCTTCTTTGTAAAATGTGAAATATTATACGATTTTTGTTTTATATATCTACTCCTATATTATGTTACACGATATAATATATAAGTTACAAATAGCCTAGCCATTGGTGTAGAACAGTATATAGAAAATATTAAACAAAAAATTGAACCAAATTAATAATTGTCGACTTTTGACACGGTTTCAGGTCTGGCAGGAGTATGACTATATAAGTGTATACTTTTCGCAAATCGCAATCATGAAAACGAACAAACACGAGGCGATGGCTTGCCCGCCGATTACCAACGGCGATGCGGATGAAGACGAGTGGCGGAAAATGAGCTTCACGTCCAAGGCGGCGCACATGGCCCGGAATGTGACGGTAGAACCGATGTTGGGGGTCTTCCAGCTTTCCATGATCATGTCCAGCCTGACCACCCAAAACCTGAACATGCAAAAGGCTTGCCGGGTGAACCTTAGTCTGGGGCAGACGGTGTGTTATGCCCTGGAGAACAAGAACGCCACGTCTTACCGGAATGAAGAGTTGGCAGTGCAGCAGCTGGTGACCAAGATGATGCTCTGGCAGAGCCCCTTCCAGAACATTGTGCCATGCGTTCTGGTGATGTTCGTCGGTTCGTGGAGCGACCGGAACCAGAAGCGGAAACCGTTTATGCTGTTGCCAATAATCGGCGAACTGGTGCGCAACGCCGGCCTGGTAATTTGCGTGTACTTCTTCTACGAGCTGCCGATGGAGATAGCAGGTGTCGTCGAGTCGGTCCCGTCGGCCGTTACAGGTGGTTTACCTATACTGATACTCGCCGTGTTCGCGTACGTGGGGGACATAAGCACGGTGAGTTTATTATAATATTATATCGTGTGAGCTATAGGTATAAGGTGTATCTGGTGGGTTTGACGTTTGCGAATTTAAATGGCTATTTCACCAGTTAAATCATCTGTCTGCGTATACCTATATAGTGTATATTTATGAATAGTTGAGTATGTAGTAAGTCGTATGTCGGAGAAATCACTTAGTGTAGGACTATATAGCTCCTTTGAACACGTATTTATTATTTTATCTTATTTTATCATAATGAAACATGGGTATAAAGTAAAATAATACAGTTTGCAGGGACTTTGAGCATAGAATTTTGTTACTTAACAATTGTATTCATAAAAAATGTGTGATCTCGAATTACTAATTAGACATACCTTACATTCTTACTCTTTGCATAGTAATTTATCGTTAAATATACTAACATTAAAAGTTGAAACTACACATAAAATTACGTGTATAAAAATATTCAACATTAGTTTGTAAAACAATATTATGATATGTTGTTTAATGCATACAATTTTTAACTTGTATATTATATCGTTCTAGGTTAAAAGTAGAACAGTTCGAGTGGGCTTCGTGAGTTTAATTTTTTCGATCAGTATCACCGTTGGATCAGCGTTATCCGGCATCCTGTTTCGAGATTACGGTTTTTACGGAGTGTACTTTATATCCACTGCATTGTATTTGTTCAGCTTCATGTACTGTATAATTGTCATCAAAGATATTAAGCCCGCTATCGTAGAAAAATACCACGAGCCCAATATTGTCGTTGGAAAATGCGAAAAATCAGCTTTACACGCGATAACCGATTTCTTTGACTTAAGACACGTAAAAGAAGCGATTCGAGTTACATTTAAGCGAGGAAATGACGATAAAAGAAGAACAGACATCATATTGTTGTTTGTTATCATGGTTATTATCTTGGGCCCTATGAGTGGTTTGTATATTAAATTATTATTTTATGAGTAGTCTAATATTGAATATACATACCTATTATAAAATATATAAGTTTAATGAAATATGTTGTTAAACTTTGTTTAAAATGAAAATGGTAGGTATGCAAATAACCCAAAACTAAAATGTATGGTATAATATCTAAAATATTTTTACTTAGGTACAAATTTAGAGTTTTGTTTTTATATTTTACGATCTTACTAAACCAGCTATTGCCTAGTATAAATGTTATTACTTATTAGGAAGGAAAAAACAAATTGAGTCTCTCTATCTGAAATAAATTAATCAATAAAAATAAACTATTTTTTATTAATTTAGAAAATGTATTATCTTAAGTATCTTTGAATACCTACCACGAATAGACTTATAATGAAGATGCCGTATTCGCATGAGTTATCTAGCAAATTCGGGTTCAGCAGAACCAATTTTTTATCATTAGATTTATATAATACAAGAATGAATTTATCAAAAGTAAAGGTAAGAATATTATCAAGGCATCGTAATCTCGTAAGCTTTATTGATATTCAATCTTTAAAGCGAGTTATGAGTATTTTAAGATTATATTATTTTACATGCTTTTAACTCAATTTAAAATTAATATATCAATAAAAGCCTAACATGATGTCCTAGATAATATTCTTATCTTTAAGTTTGATAATAGGTATATTTACTTGTTTTTATTAAAACTAACAACATACAATTTGTTTATACATTTTTTTTATAAAATAAAATAATTGTTATTTAATATTAAATATTATTCATCCCAATTCCTAATTATGAATATTTTCTATCGAATAGTTATTAATTATAAGCCTTCTACGTAGTATTTTGTTGCACGAAGTTATATTTGCTGGGAGCCTGTTGTATTACGTATGTTTTCCGTTAATTTCATAATATATAATTATAATACATATTAAATATAAATAATTACCTATATATTATATTAAATATAAATAATTATATACATATATTTTCACTTCGTGGAATCGATATTTTCATAAAAAGTTCATAGAAACGGTTTTTTCACACTTACAATATTACGAAACGATAATTTACATCGTGAAACAAAATATTTACCACTATAATATTTAATATTATTTTTATTTTAAGTATACTCTATCTACTATTTTATTTCTATTCATTCCATATTTAATAACTTGTTAGGTGTTGTACATATTATTATACTTTTAAAATGTATTTATTTAAAAATCAGTAAATTTATACATAGTAATATTTAACGATTAAGTCGTACTAAATCTACATATAAAAAACCAAAATACATCTTACCTAATTACTAGGTACCTATGTATAAGTTAAAGTAACTTTATATAAATACAACTTAAATGTATAAATATTAAAATATATAACATTTGTATGGTATTAGATATGACATGAATAAATCATTTTAAAAAAAGGGGGACAGTAGATAATCGCTCAGCTGTACAGTAGTTGTCGAGTATACCTCGGCATTGAGTAGAAGTCACTGTAATGTATTTGATAAATTTAAATTCAATGAAAAATCATTGCATAGGAAAAACAATTCTGAGCGAAGACTGTCTATCAGCCTAAATTACTAAGTATACTTTATGATGTATTTATGTGGCTAATATGGTAGTTTATTTATTTTACTATTAATAATAAGGTAGTAGATTGAATTAATTTATTCCAAAAAGTAGGTTATTCGTGGTAAAATATATATTGGCAATTGCATAACAATTGTTTTGTCCAAATGTTTTTAAATAGAAATTGTGTGTATAAAGTATAATACTATACGTTTAAGCTTCAAATTCCCACAAAAAATATTTTTGAATTACATCAAAAGAATAAAACTTGTTATTCTTCGTTTAAATATCTAATTCCATACAAATTTGAAATTCAAGTGTCCATAAAAAATTGTGTCTATTTACCTAGTATATTATATCTATTATATTTTAAAAGTTTCGTTTCCAGCATAAAATACTTATGGTTATGAAGAACCTTTTATTCAATTTTCAAGCCTTACCTATTAAAGTCGATAATAATTTTATAAATGTTTAACTACAAAACAAGTTTTGAATTTTCGACATTTTGACGGATTTTGTATTTAAAATTTTTATAAAAGAAATCGTGCATATTATAAATATCAAATCATTTTATATGATAAACTTTTATGAGTTATGACTTATGATTAACTTTTTGTTACATTTTCAAGATTTTTGACAGAGCCAAAATGTGTTTATCGATAGTTGTAAAAAAAACCAAAAATGTCAAATGCTTATAAATAGCTAAAAAAAAAAAAAATCAAACTATTTAGAAAATAATATCATGTTTATTTAATAGGTACTAATATTAACATTTGGTAAAAATTTCATGAATCTACGGTTATTGGTCTTTGAATTTCAATAAAATAAGAAAACCGTTTGCTATAAGAAATTGTTATTTTACGTATGTAAATATCCAATTTCGTCAAAATTTAAACTTCAGATGCACATAAAATAATTTTTGTGAAATCACTCATAATTTCTCTTATTACAGTACGCGTCACGAAAACGTGCGGTTAATTCTAGCGCCTCCAGTGGCGTTTTTTCAGTAGGGCTATCTAAACTATAGCTTTACCGAAAAAACGCCACTGGAGGCGCTAGAATCATCAGCACGTTTTCGTAACTCGTACTGTACAGCAATATATGAGGAACTTTTAACAAATTTATAAATTTTTTGACAAAGCGAGAAATTTTTATTTTTATTTACAGAAAAAATTTTTAAAATAAATCATAAATAATTATTTATAAATAGCTCAAAAATTCATAATATTTTGATGATTATACCTGGTATAAATGTTAATATAAATATTTTTTAATCATTTTAAATATTTACAATTATTTTTTTTTTTAATATTTTAAGTGGCTGAAGTTATTATTTTTTTTTAATTGTGATAAAATAAAAATAAATAATTTCTTCGAAACTGGGTTTATTTAAACATCCCCGTTTTCTTTAAATATTTTTTTCTTGTTTAATCTAATTATTAAGAAAAGTAGTCAAAATTGTTAATTTAGACCACCCAAAAGTAGTAACTAAATTCACTTGTATATCAGGAACAATATTTAAATTGAATATCAATGCATTTTTTCTACTGTAAATCATGTGGTAACACACACCAAAAACAGATATTTAGCATTTTAAAACCAATACAGTCATGATTCATTGCATTTATCTTAAAGCCTAAACGTTGAATAAATAATAAGAACAATAAATTGTGCTTAAAATATTTTATTTTATCATAAAATTAATAAAATTACATTATATCAAACTGGAGTCACTATTTCACGAAAAAGTGACAATTTCGAGACATAATTTAGTACTTACCTATTTCACAAATTGTGTTATATAAGTTATAAAAATTAGAAAGTTGGCATTCTTGTAGAGTAGTCTTTTATTAGGCGCTTTATAAATATTATAGTTATAATGTTATATAGTAATCAAAATTTACTTAGTATTGCTTAATTTAGTTATTAATTGCAAATTATTTACATGATATGCATCGAGCATTCATCGAGTAAAGTATTTGTGATTTAATGTGGGGAAAAACTCGTTTCAGGTGAACAAACATTGATGTATTTGTTGGTACGAGTTAAATTCGGCTGGAATGAAGTAGATTTCAGTGTTTTCTCCACGTATTACTTTATTTGTAATCTCGTAGGTAAATTTAATTAATACGTACTATAACAATCACATTACCTATATAAAATGTTAGACTATTTAGACAATGGTCGTCAAAGACTCATGACAAATGCGTATTATTAATTTCCAGGCATTGCATTTACATTGTGGATTCTGGTTAAACGTTTTAGTATTGACGACAGACTGCTTGGGGCAATTGGATGCCTGAGTAAAGGATTGGCTTCATTCGTTTACGCCTATGCCCCGACCGAATTCTTATTCTACCTAGGTGAATATTATGCAATAAACTATACAATATTATATCCACACAGATTTATAATATAATAATCAATATAAAAAATATGATCTGATTACAATGTACCAACAAGTATAAATTTTATTTCAGGTCCGATTGTGGACATTTTTCACGGTACGGCCCTTGTTGCATTTAGGTCGATACTCTCGAAACTTGTTCCTGCAAACCAACTAGGTATGGAATTAATTTAATCCATAGTAATACAATTATGAATTCATTTTTGTGTCACACGTGGACTTATTATTTTGAAATATAAATTATAGGTATACATAATACATTAGCATTAATTTTTTTCGTCTTGTATTATACAGGTCAAGCGTTGGCGGTATCTTCTCTCGTCGAAACCATAGTTCCTGCAATATTCAGACCTCTGTACAATGTGATTTATTATAAGACACTACACTTTCTACCTGGTGCATTTTACATACTCGGAGGTATCCTTAATCTTTCTGGCATCTTTGTTTTTCTGTGAGTAAAAATTTTATAGTTTAACATTATGTATGCAATAAGAGTTAATCAAAATTACAGTTTTACAAATTTTCGAGACATCAAACCACTAATGCTGAATACTCATATAGTCATGTACATGTGAAGTGAGGTTCAATAATATTATCATCTTAAGTTATACTCCGTAGAAATGCTATAGGTACAAAAAAAATATAACCAGGTTGGGTTTTATACCAGCAATACAACCCTGTCCTATTCGTATATGAAATAGGTATCTTTAATTTATGAATTGCTAACAAATCATTGTCATTAGGTTATATTTATAGACTATTAGTAGCTTAGGTAGTCACTATAGGCATAATAATATAATTTCCTCATAAAAACTATACATTTATAGGTACGTAAATAAAATTAATTATTGACATTATTTTGTTTAAAGTTTGTTTATTGTTGCCACTTGTTCCAAGAGATTGTCTGTACATTTAGAGAAATTATCAAGAAAATCTAAAAATAACTTTTTCCAAATAGTTTTTGACTAGATATGAATACTTGATTTCTATCGAGAAATTTAGGTTGCTTGTTGTCACTCTTTTTACTAAAAAAAATGTTAATCTCTTATAATCTTTGTTATTGTACCTACCATTTGTTATAATCCGCAGTGTAGTACGCCAGATATATTATATTAATTATTTAATTACAACTATTGCATATTATTTGTAATAACAACCTAGGTGGCTGGCTAGGTACTGAAATACTGAAATGATTATCACAAAGTGAAAGTTATTTGATCAGATGCAATAAAAATTAATAATGATTCATACGAAGAATAAATATTTACTGATTTTATATTCAGATGGATGTACAACGGTACAAAAAGAAGAGCCTAAACATGAACAACTCAAAAAAGCCAAAGTTACAAAACTCATTTAAGTATAAAGGTTCTCGACACATTGGATTCTAGCAAGATTTTTATACCTACTTCCCTTTACGTGTACTATACTTTTTTTTAATCCTAATTTTGTGATATTGTTTTAAAAGCACATTTTTCTTGAACAAAACAATAAAATATTAACCTTATTACTATTATAACCTTATTAGTTTCACTAACTTGTGATAATTTTCCAAATGCATGACAATGTATTAATGTCCATTTAGAATTTATTGTTCTTCGGTGGTGATAGTCTCGTACAATCGTACATATTATTATGTATAATATTTCATATAACATTATTAAATAATATTCTGTTAAATTAACTGTTTATAATATAATATGTGACATATATTTTAGATGGATGTACAAGAAACACATACAAAACGAAAAATGGGAAGATTTTGAAGAGAAACAAGCCTTATCAGGGGAACCTAACAGTCATCATCCTTAAAACCACAGTAATGTGTTTAAATTATTAATATTGTTTTAAATTATTTTAGCATATAAACGTTTTATTTATGTCCCATAATTTTTTTTTATTGTATATTATTATACTAGTAAATACTATTTACTTTTAGTTACTAGTGTAAACCAATTTTATTTATATTTAAATTACTTCAATTTATATTAACTAAGTTAAACCCATCTCAGCTGGAACCAATTTTGAGCTGTTTAAATTAAGTATTGATTATTGAATATATTTTTTCATTTTTATTTGAACAGTCATAATCTAATGTTATTGTAACTTGTAAGAAATATAAACTCTAGAATTTAAATACTTATATCACATGGTATTTCATTATAAGTAAACGTTAAATATGAATCCTCTTTATACCAATTTTATGAAATACACATGACGTGAACCTAATAACAATATTTCACAGAAATTATTGATAAAATGTAAAACTAGATCATAACTAGTTTAAATAATTATGTAACAGTCAACTGTTGATTCATAATAATGACACAAATTATAGTTTGATAATGTCTGCTATATAATAATAATAATAATAATTATAACGAATGATAATTTATCCAGTTTGAGTTTATGGGTTCGGTATTACGTACAACATGGCTTAAAACAATTAATTTACAATACATGTGAAAAAATATTTTTCTGCTTTTTATATTTTTTTTAACATTTCTGTAAAAAATATATTTCTAAGTACCATTTTAGAACAATCATCATAGGTTTAATGTGGGTAAAAAAAAAATTTAAGTTTTTAAATATGATAATGTCATGTTATTTATTTTCTACAAAATGTATAAAACGATATTATAACGTACATTAGCCTAGTAAGCCTTCATACTAATTTCGAAAGTTTTTTTTTTCTGAAAAATGTATATGATATTTTACACATGAATTAAAAACGTATCGAAGTTACCTTATATTATTTAGCTTAAACAATAATATTTAATAGTACGTTTTGGTTCAATTTGAACAGTTATTTTAGCCAAAACATTCAATTTTCATTCCATCATACTGATCGATCTAGTAATGTGATATTACTTTTTAAAACAGATTTGAATTCGTTATTATGTCTACTTGAGATTGATCGGTCCACTTTTCCGAATTTCAACCCCCTACCTCTAAAAATTTAGCTTGAATATTTTGAAATTTCGGAATTTTTAAACATTGATTATTCTGGATTTATTGGGAATTTAAAGCAGAAATATTAAAATATAGACTGACCGATCTCTAATAGAAATTTCAACGAATTCAGATCAGTTTTCAGAAATATTATCGCATTATTAGATCGATTGGTAGGATGGAACAAAAAAAAAAAAAAACGGGAGCGATAAGATGTAGTGCTGGTCCCGTGATTGATTATAATTTATAATTTATAAAAAATATCTTGCGTAGGTATATTGATAATATAATAAAATGATTGATAATATATCACTACACTACGTATATTATGTATTTATAATTATTGTAATTAATAAAATATATAAGTAATAACTAATAAGTATATATATAGTATATATTCAATAAGTATTGAATTGTACGTAATATATTGTTGTCACGCCTGCACCGAAAATTTGGTTTTCGACCTCGGTTGAAGAGTTTGAAAGCGACCTTTTCCGTCCAGCGGGCTGTAAAGTGGAAATCCTCAAAAGTGCTGGGCGCCGGGCGCGTACTTATATCACGCGTATTCCATGCACAACCAGGCACTGAAATCTATACCACGGTCCTTACAAAACATAAACTTTTGGTTACATCTTATATACATATTATAATCTCCTTGCATGACGCGTAAACATTTTTATTCCATAAAATTGTTTTCGTAGAATAATCTGATTGTTGCATATTATATCCCTATGTATAGTTTATTCCACGAGAAAATAATCACTTTTCGAGCATCACGAATGATTCAATTGGTGCGCCGAGAACCACGTGATCACGTTAACACAGGGAAGTTGGTGGGGGATGCGCGGCCCTGACGAGAATCGGTCGGCGGACTGATTGTTCTCTCGTGGAATAGACTATCGTCGGCCTAATTCACAAAAGTCGTATCTCCATTTTTTGTCATTTTGGGATTATTTACTCATAAAATAAAGAAAAAAAAACTGCGTCTGTTGATACAATCAAATTTCCGATTTCATAATATTATCCTCCATGAAATTGATAATTAGAAATCGTCGTATCTCCAATTAATAATATAGCCGTAAAACGTTTTTTTCTTCTCCTGAACAATTTGTAATTTTGGACATACGACCTTTGCGAATTAGGCCGACGCTATAGTGCTTTACCTTTGCCGTGATTACATTTCTTTGTGTGTCGCGTTAGGTAATAGAAAACGGGTATAACGCGATAGGATTTGAAACAGCGTAATAAGATCTGCATATTATTAAGCATTTATGATTATTATAATTTATAAATTATAACAATTTGGTGACTTTAACATCAATTTTAATGATAAGAAATCGGAAACTTTTAAAACTTTCCTTGTGGACACGTTCAATTTACATATGACAAACAATCCAGCAGAATCTACAAGGCTACAACGAGAGATGACACCACTATCGATGCATTATTTTCAAGACATTTGGAAAAAATTACATCACAAACATACGTATATCATGTTTCAGTTACCACAGGTCTGTAATTTCGATTATTGAATATGATTAATATAATAGTAATTATAAATAGTAATAATAATAATTTTCATTTTAATTTATTTATCACATTTGCTTTTCTTTTGAATGGTTCCACTAAAATGTATTTGTAATCTATAATATTTGTTGGAAAAGAAACTTCTTTTCTATCGGGTGTCCCATGACATCATCACCTCACTTTTTTTTTTTAATGAAACGTATAATTATTTATTTGTGTATGCGTTGATATAATGCTTCGATTTTCAACTTTGGTACTTTTTTGGTGGGAAAGTGAATCTAGTTAGTACTTTAGACATGTCATAATAAAATTCCCTATGAATTTTAAAAAAGGTAGGGAAAACGAAAAAAAAATAATTAAAAACGGGGATTTTTTTACACATAACCAGTTTTCGACAAAATCGATTTCGTTTTCGAAAGGGAAATAAAATTTTATTCGTTTTGTCAAAAAGCTTGAAAATTAAATACAAGGCTCTTGGTATATTGATACAACAGAAGTTGAAAATATTAAAAAATAAAAATACATAGGCAAGATTTTATAAGCTTTTAAAGTTTAGATTTTGACATAATTTATCAAATTTAAAATATTTTGTAGCTTATTTTATTATGTGGTTCTTTTCAAATCGTAATAAAATGAATATTTAGTTACACAATATGCACAAAATTAGACTCTTAATAAGTTAAAAATTTAGTATTGTGCACAAAAATATTTACACATCGATTTTTCAAAATTGTTATTAGACTAGAGCTAAGTTAATTAGCAAAAGTCATTATTTGTGCATTACCGGTGTTTTTTGTATAACTTGTTATTAAATAACAATGTAAGTATGATTATAATTCACTTTGTAAATATAATAAATTGTATTATTGAAATATATTGCAAACAAATGTAGCTAAATTGCCTATCTTGAACGCCGTGTTCCCATACTTTCATTCAGGGATTGAAACCTTATGATTTTATCGGTGCCGGTTCAGTTAAATCACTTTAAACATTTTTAATAGAATTTATTTATTCATTTTTTTTTTTTTTTTTTTTAATTAAGTACTTGCAGTATAAAAAAATTAAATTACCCATAATTGTCACACTGAATCGTAACAAAATTAATAATTGCTATTTAATATTTATAGTTGACTATCGTTCAGAAGTTAAGTAAGGTATACCTATATAAATGTTAGTTCATATATTCATACTATTCATACCATAAAAAAGTGATGGTTTGTGTTTAATTGCAGTTTCACCTTATCGTTCAGTCTTAAACTCTGTAAGAACGTTAGATTTATATTGACAATCGTTGTTTGATGTTATAATATTACAGTAACTGTTTAAACCATGGGGTTTACTATACAATATTACCATTGGCCACTGACATATTACATAACGATTAGATAAAAACTCTGAAACCATTTATAAATGTAAGAATGGTTATAGGGTAAATTAGTATTGTCCTTCCCGATACAATATCCGCAGTTGACATATATTTAATAATAAAATGTATTTTATCAATAGGTTGGAATTTATAATTGTTTCATGATAAATCTGTACCTATATAACATATCATAATAATATGAAAATAATAGTATTTTAATTATTAATATATATTTACAGAATAATCTGATCTACTATTTTATATTTATTAGTTATTGCTTATTAGCTTCTGGTTAGTTGAGTATTAGTGAGTAAAACTTGTTTCAAAGGTAGTGCTTTTAGTCACGAATATTCCTAGGTACCTATACTCTATTACAAATAAGATAATGAGTCTACGGCGATCAGTTTTCGTCGGGCGGCGGTCAGACATAATATGTCAGGCGCTGCCACGTAACAAAGCCACGTCTATGGGCACTATTATTTGGCCGCCGACTCGTGATCTTATTTGGATTAGAGTATAGTTGAATATTTTTAGTTGGTCGTCTTCTAATAAGAAAGTCAGTTTTTGTAAAGTAGGTACCGATGATTACATTGGCCAGAGGGCCATATTTAGGGTTTTTTTTTAAATGTATAAAAGTTGTTGAAATTAGAGCCTCCCAAGAGTAGTTTTCACTTCAATAATTTCCATTTTGTATCACTATCATTATAGTCATACAAAATTGAAATTTTTATAAATAACTAGAAAAATTATCTTGCCAGCGTATACTTTTTGTTCAAAGTTTAAATAACACATCCATCGTATATTATGTTGTAGTATAAATGTGGTAACACTGTAAAACGTTGAAGTTATTAATTTAATATTGTTATTTTATATGTCTAATCTATATCCGGTCATTATAATATTATGTATTCTGTTTTGATGGCCTATACACAAATACACAATACATATGAGGTTTTCTTCTATAACAGCCGACGTCGTCTTAAAGTTCTTTTCTTATTATAAATCAACGATGTACCAGTTGTTAAACTTTTCATTACACAACAGTGTAAAGTGTAGTAGAAGGTATATAAGTATTTGGCGTTCACTACTAATTTTTAACTGTTATAATTATATATTACATAATGTCAGAATTAAATTGTAATTACGTGTAATATAAATAATTGACGAGAAAATATTAATTTCATGTTTTTTATTCCATCTACAATTAATATTGTTATTTATGAGTTTAAATAAAACTGTGGATTATAATTTATAAATAATCATACTTACATAACACATTGAATACAGGATAGACCAAATAATAAACATGAATAAAAATAATTGTCATACAGATGAGTTTTATATACAGTATAAAATATGTATAAATGTATAATAATATAAATTATAATAAGCGGTGGTTGCATTCAGTCATGAAACGTGTTCTAAGTGCAAGCACATGCCGGTGTCACTAGTTCCCGGATGGGTGGCCACTTGTGTTCTTAGCTTTGTTTTAATTCTATAATATATATTAATATTATATTATATATCTTCATTTATATATATAATAATATTATATATATAATATTCTTCATTACGTGTGGACATCACTGAAGTCTTCCTAAACGGCTTGACCGATTTAGATGAATTTGTGTGTGTGTGTGTGTGTGTTTGAATGGGTCCCTGGATGATTTAGATTCACAATTGGACCCGGTAGGTCCAACCCGGAGTGGTGCACAAGGATTTTTAAATTTACAATGGAAATCGAAAAATATAAATGGTCGCTATTCTTACAGGCTACAGATTATAATAGTAACAGGAGAAATAATTAGTATTTTTGTAGATAAATGGTTGCCATTGGTTACTCGGGCAAATGAGGTAAAATCATGTATCAAGTCGTCCCGTTTATGGTTTCGAATAAACACACCATAAAAAAATATGAGAGTTGAATGTATGTTTGTAGCTTATATAGTTATATAGTTACTCAAAAACTTCTGTGGAAATTTAAAATTTAAAATTTTTGTTCTTGGAGATATCAATACAATATAAAGAATAGTTTGAGCCAAGTTTGATTTATACCTAGTGATATATCCAATCCACCACAGGTCCATCTTGGTTGAATTATATAGTTTACATCAAATAAAACTAAGATACCTGAATAGCGCTATATTTTATATTTTTTGAATAAATTTTTGCGAAGTCGGGTTATACATCTAAAAATGGATACTAGTTCATCCGACTTTAATAGATCCAAAAATTTCTGAATCGTTTTCAATAAAAGTTGTATTAAAAAATTCATTGAGACTTGGAGGGAGCTTATAACTTATTTTTCAACCCTTTATAGATAGCTAAAGGGTAGTTACTCCTCACCATGATTATTTTTCAGCTTATGATAAAATAACATTTTTTTTGTTCATCTAAATGGTTGCCCTTGGTTACATATTTTATAACTATTATAATAATTATAGAAGAAATATTGTATGGCATATACATTTTTTTTTCTAACATATTTGATAAAAATACAAATACCTATTTCATATTTGATCCGGGAAATGTCGGACGGGACAGCTAGTATTATACAATATTAATATATAAACACATAGGAATATATTTATATTTATTTATTCATATGAATAACATAAATTCAATTTATGGATCATTGTTTTTATATTTAACTACCAATCCAAACGATGTTTATCAACCAACTTTACGGTGAGATCTTCAGAAGATCCTTCGAGTTCTACCATTACTATAGTGTTAAGTCCAAGAACTAAGTACGGAGCTGGCACGTATAATGTGATTTGTGGACCTACTGCTGGCCAATATCTACCGATGTTGATGCCATTGATAAATGCAACGCCCTAAAACATGGTAGATCTTATAAATAGTTATACGTTATAAATTACAATAAAGTATATTTAATTTAAATTATTATACGTCTGTACATAAATAGTCTTAGTATAATAGCATTTAGTTAAATAATATTTTATAGTCAAAGTTTCAAAAAAGATTCTCAATTTAGGGCATTTATATTTGAAGATTTTTATCTTAAATATTTTTAAAATGAATAATAAGATATTATCGTCCATTTCGTAATACAAATACGGTATATTAAAATTAAATCAATTTATCTTGGTGTATTATGACCAATTATTATAATAATATGACGCATGAATTATTATACACAATATTAAATTAGTTATTCATAAATTAACCATTTTGACTAGTGATAAATATTATGTTTTATTGATTTGTATTAAGTAATAATAAATTAAACTCATGCGTATTGTTCATTGGTATATCATTATACAATAATATTATTTTAAAGTAGGTTATCAACAAACCTTCGACCATCCAGACGTATCTAAAAATGTATCCAATGGTTTTGGGTGTTTATTATCTTGCGGTACGACGAAAACTCCTTTGTAAAAAGCTGGTGGTTTAACGTTTGGTTGAATTTTTTGAGTTTCTAACCACGATGTTTCGTTCAATGGATATCCAGTCATTACCCACGGACCTAGGATGTGTTTTCCGAGTGTTACGTTTGATAAAATCCCCTAAAATGTACCTATTATTACATAAATTCAATTTAATAACATATTTCATGAAAATACCTTTCTATCTACTAAAAATCTCTTGTCATTAATTCTGCCTTGGTTTTCGACAAGAATACTCAGTTTTTGATTATTACCAATTACTGATATTTCCATCGTTGTATTACTATTAGATCTGCTCATTATTCCTAATTTCACCTAAACAAACATCATCAATATTTAATTTCACCTTTGAAATAATAACGGATTAAATATGTTCAAACAGGAGCTAAAGTTTAAGAACAGTTATTTATAACTAAATTCCTATTATGTACATGCTATAGCTATAAACATATCCTCTTTGACAACTTTTTTAATTATTAATTTTATTTTAAATAATATCGTTTATTAAATTATTGCTGCTGTATTTCCACATTTGTATTGTTTGTTATTAGTAAATGTACTTAATACAGAAAACAATTGTTTATAAAGTTGGATGTAGCATTGTAGCCATCTGACATTGCAACAATAAGACATGATTCCAAACAAATCAGTTGGAAGTGAATAATTGATAAGCATAGTGAAGTACTGTAATTTATAAATAGGTCTTCGTCATAATAACGAACGGTGAATGTGCTGCACTGGGCATCTTAAAACAAAAATAAACTAGATTTATAGTTTTTTGTTTTTAAAATAAATAATAAAGAGCCTATTTAGATATACCTAAGTAGGTATATTGGGTATAGTAAGTAAACGTTAAAAACCTATTTATTTATTTAAATTTTCCCTAATATCTATTTCATAAAAATTTGGTGAAGTCTAAAAATTGTGTAAAATAAATTTCAAATTTGTAAGATTTCTCAATATCATATTTTTCTTTAATCGTAAAGAAATTCTTATTTTAGTATTTTTATTCAAATTTAAATAAATGTTTCTCAATTGTCACAATGTTCACGATCAAAGTATTAATAAGTAATAACCAATTAGACTATAATTGATTATAAATATTAAAACTAATTATTATTATATAGGTATTAGAGCAGGGATGGCCAACCCAAATGATCTTGCAGCTCACCTTTGTAAATACATTACATTCCTGCGGGCCACATAAAGGGTTTCCAAAAAAAAAGTCCATCAGCCAGTAAAAATATTAATATAATCAAATATTTTATTATTAAAAATTAGGGGCGTGGGTTGGCCATCCCTGTATTAGAGTATAACCTAACAAATAGAATAGTATAATATATCATGTTGGTACCTATGTATATTTGTAGATCACCACAAGACTGTTTTATGTTATCTGAGTTGAGTTGAAATAAATAATTATGATAATATATTATATAATAATTTAATACTTAATACACGTACATTATTCAAAAAGATAATTGCTCGGTCACCAAGTGATTCGATAACTAGTGGTAATTTGGTCAATCCTCCGATCGGTGGTAAATTAGTTTCATACAATACTAGCCCATGATTAATATCCATATCTTCAAAGCATAATGGTACGTTATTTAAGACTGGCTTGAAACGTCGGGCTACATTGTCAAATAAACTGACCACGGGCAACATATTTACGGTTCCATAATTCCCTTCGGTTGAATTGCGGAGTTGATTCGGTTGGAAAATTCTTGTAAAAATTGTCTAAAATTAAAACTATATTTTATAATATATAAAATTTCTAAATAATTCGAAATATTATTTATAATATACAATTTTAGTGTACCAGTGCACGTCATCCAAAGGTTTTATTTAAAGCACGTTTTAATATTCCCAACCATTTTGAGTACAAACTCAACAGTAATGTATTGATATTTAATATCCGTGTAATAAAACGATCTTTATAAGTTAAGTTTTTTTTAGTTTTGTGAATCTAGATCTTTAATGATATACTTAATGCGTAGCGCTTATATTTTTATTAGTATATTAATCTATATGGGTATGAAACTTTAATTTTAAACCCAATACTTTGCGAATATATCACATACAACAAAGTAGGCACCTATAGTTCATAGTAGTTATGCATTGCAATACGTGTTTTCGAAGACAATATATATATATATTATATGCATTCCACTTAATTTTTTTAGACATTTTTTATGTATTTTTAATTAATTTTAATAACCGCTTTTTTAAGGGTATGTTTAATTAGCATGGTACTTTTCTGTCGGATCACCAGCTTCGTATAGTGGAGCGGTAAAATCGTACGATGTCAATTGAGGTCGATAGCCAGATTTCTCCAAAGTTGTCCCCATCGTATTAGCACCCGAAGTAAATCCAAAGTTGGTTCCTCCGTGGAACATGAAAAAGTTGAAAGATACGTTGGCCTCCAAAAAATATTTTAACACTCGTATTATGTCCGTGGTATTCTAAGCGGCTTGGGACTGTCCCAAAACGCGACCCATCCGTCGTAGAACTCAGAGTTGACTAATGGCCCTTTCTTCTGAACTTGTCTCAATGTTGGAAAACACTGGAGTTACTATAAGATAATAAAGTTTAGTTACAACTTACAGAGGTACTTATTATATAATAAACACATTGACTTGAGGAATATCAAAAGTTGGGCTATGACTAAATAACTTGGAAAACACTTATATTTTATCATATCACCCAGTTTGTAATGAATTTAACATTTTTACGATATTGGATTTTCACTGGCAAATTAACGAATTTTCATCTATCAATTTATGATATTTTGTTGTAATTCAAAAACAAATAACCGTAGACAGTCAACATTTTCACCAAATGTTAAAATTACTATTTTCCGTGCAAGGTACAATTTTTGAACTAACTTTGACTCTTTTTTAGTTACTCAGAGCCATGAGAACTTTTTCAAATTTTGTAAATTATTTTTAAGTTAAAAATGTATAACAGTTATTCTTTTCATAGGTAACTAACATTAGAAATTGTAATAGAAGATTTCGAACACATTTTTCTATTTCTATTTAATATATTATTATTCTACATGTAAGTATGTAAGAAATATCTTTGGACTAGATTAATATTAAGAATCTCATATAATTGTGATTTTGATGAATACCCCTTTAAATTTATTCAGGGCACCTTTCTGTAGGTATTGCTATATCAACGAGTCTACTACATGTTACATATACGATATACCATTATAGAATGATTTAATTTTATCTTACCATTAACAACTGCAGCAAAGTCAACAGTAGAGTATACATTTGGAATCTGTCCACACTCCAAAAAAGATAAATTGCATTCATCAGTTGTATAAAGTTGAGCTTGTTCGCCAACATAGTGATGGAATAAATCCCTAAGCCATAACATGTACTCCTTATCACAGTTCCCTAAATCGTTATGTCCGTATTCGTTTTCTATCTAAGTAAAAAAAAAATGTATATAATAATCACTTATTGATTTTGAAAACAGAGTTTAATTATTTTTTCATATATTATAGATAACTTAGTTATTCTAATATAAGTAATTTCATTAATTTAAATAAATACAAAATACGCTTTTTCATTTAGGATTGAGATCAAAAATTCAAAATTCATGACTTTAATACAAATATGATACATATAGCAATATTGTAAGACAAATAATTATAATAGAATACATTTGTATTAAACGTTGATACTGTCGAATTAGGCTCGGAAATAAGTTGTATTAAATAATTGCCAGTAAGTACCTAAATGATTGTGTATACTGTATGACAGTTCCTGAAATGTCCCGCTGAAATTGTTTTACCCATACCTATAATAACTAGCTACTGGTGTAATTCGGTGTAAGTGTTAGTGAACTACGTTTTATCAAAATCAAATTTAAGAATAGGATTACACACGTTACTTATGTGACTGTCTAACTTAAAACGGTTTTTAGTTTTTACGAGACTTGAGTTAAATCATAAACCTCATATTGAGGTTTATATATTTTGGTTACAAGAAGATTTCAAAATTCTGTGAAAATATCAAGTCTTTTTAAGTCTGGTTCAAATAATCGTAGTTACAATTCGTTGCAAAACGGTTGTAAAATCTTTTGGTATTTTTGAGCAAGAATTCCAAATTTAGAGTGCTAGCATGACGTAACTGCAAACATTTCAATCTAAATGAAGACGTGTATTTTATAAAATACCAATTACCATACATTTTAAAGTTCACTCACCTGAACCATGATAATGTTTCCGCCATTTCCATATAAAAACGGAACTATTTTTGGCATCAATACTGAAAACCATCTTTTTACATACTTTGTGTAATCTGAAATTATACAGATACCTAATGAAATTGAATTGATCAAATTGTTGACGTCTTTATTAAATTATAAAATATATAAAAAAAAAATAGTCTAATTGCTGCACTATATAATATCAGTATATTCCATTAATCTCATATAATTTAAACCTAGTTTTTAAAGTTTTTTTTGTGAAGAAAATCTAAGATTATTACATTTATTTATAATATAAAATATGTACCTATATAAAACTCAATGTACAGATTGAGACATAAGTGCCCACACCAACGATCAGTATTCAAGGTCATGTATTTTTATATAATATAAATAAGTCGGACTTAAAAAAGTTGAGGTATTTTTCTAATTTTAAATATTATATACATATAAATAATTTTTCTTTTATAATTTCTCAAGGTCTATATAAAGAATAATAGGTTAATAACTAATAAGTAAAACTTAAGTAAGTATAAAGTCTATAACAATCTGTGAGCTTTTTAGTTTTAATTGTTAAAGAATATACATAATATTATATTAATATTACTTGGGTCGCTAGATCTAAGATGTAAACTAGGTTTTTCTTTCAACAACCAATATGGATGACCACCCTGCAATTAAAAAAAAAAAAAAAAACAATAAAAACTTATCAAGTATAAAACATTTTCCAGGTCTATTAAACCATTCCATCTGCAAAATATTAACATTTTAATTTCTCATGAAATATATACCTTCCCACCGCCCGATGGTGGTTCATGCAAAATCAAAATGTATTCGTAAAAAAATTAAGTATCAATGTTCCACTTAAAACCTGTTTATTTTATTATATTGTAAGCGGACACTGTAGCCACAAAATATTTCTTATTTAAAAACTGGTTTTCAATATCCATTTCTGTAAATTTTGAACAGATATTTAATGCATTTAGATCTGAGCAACTCAATACCGTATTGGTTTTACAAAGTTCAATAATAAAATATTTTATATTATTTAATCATTCCATAATACAATTTGCTATTTATAGGATAATTTTGGTGATTCAAGCTGAGTCTATATTATAGAATAATATAGATACATATAGGTACACCGTAAACATTATTTTATCTGATTTCAAATAAAATGTATTATTATTTTTGTATACCATAATATAATATTACCTATTTAATAACATTACACACAAACAAACATCCATAACGTTATTTAGTTTAAACATAATATTAATTATTATTAATAACGATAATTATACCATGCAATATGCATAGAAAGTTCAAAGTTCTAATACAAAAATTTAGTATCTACGGATATTAGATTTTGAACGTAGTGATGAATGTATTGAATTTACAATGATGTATACTTTTCATTTTTGACTTACAACAAAATAATAAAATCAATTTTCTCGATAACTAGTTTTGAATGAAAATTATTCTTTTCCCCAATTATTTTTAAAAGTGTTTGATGGGAATTTATAAATTTTGAGCTCCCAAAAGTACCTACCAATTAAATTCACTTTTTCGATAGAAAAGATATTGATGAGAAATAAAAATATAAATACACAAAAAACCACACACACATTTATGAAAACTGACAAATTCATGTAAACCAGTAGATTTTCTTTATTTGAAAAATGATGACTGTTACAAACCTATATAAATGTGTAATCATAATAATATACACAATCTATACAATAAGCATATATGTTAAGGGTTTGTAACATATTATCGATATATATGCACTCCTGTCTGCTAGCTATTATACGTACTATACTACTACATCGCTCACGTATTATTATATTATTTTTATTACTCAGCGTGTATAATAATATAGGTATGAATATAATATACGTATTTCCGTTATTACCTATTTAGGTATAGTCACACCTCGCAACAGGTTAAACATAACATGATTACATGATAAGAAGCTAAATATTAGTGGCACATGACCCATTTTATTGTAAGTATATATTTTATAAAAATGATAGGACTCGTGGCTTGTATATCTTAAAAAGTAAAAATATAACAACATAAAAACATTGATATGAGAGCTTAAATATGAACTAAAAATGCAGCAATATACAAAAAAAATTTATTGAATATGAAAAAGTGACATTTATCGCCCTTGTCAGGAGGAGAACATTTACTGTGCAACGTTGTTATTCTTTTTTCGATATCACAAATACAAAAAAAGTTCTTATTATTTAAAAATGCATTATTTTTGAGGTTTTCAAACCTGAATAACTTTTTTTTTTAGTCCTCGATACCGAAAAAATAAAAACAACGTTGCCCAGTTAAAAGTGGTCCTTTGCTTGGATTACAGCCTGAGTGGTCCTTACCTACGCAAAAACAGTTTTTGCTAAGTTTTACATATTTAGTAGGCTAACCTACTA